TTTTTTTTTTTTTAACACTAATCCTAAACTCCTATCTGCAGACATACGTAGTTCTATTCCTGAGCCTTTCTAGGGTCCTGCCATGGCGTCCCTGCCCTCTCCCTACTCTCACTTAAGCTTCAGCTTTTTCTGGTTAAGTTAGATACAACTTACCTACCTCTTCTTTAGCTTCCAAAATTTTTCTGTCATTTATATGCTGAAGTCTTCTATATTTGTTGTCCTTATAAGTTTTTTTCTTTTTGTCCTAAATAGTTTTAACTTCTTTTGTTCTTTTACTGACTTGTGGTTGGGTTTAAGAGAGAGCAGAAATAAGATTGCAAGTTTTCAATCTTCCGTACTTAACCAGAAGTTCCTAAATTTTTTAGGGTAAAAGATAAATCAGGTTATTAAAACATAAATCAGGTAAAAATTTTTAAAAATCAATAAAAAATTTTCTTAAAGTTATGACTGTATTTCATTCTATCATATGAATTTATGAATGTTTTCATTGCCTTTAACCAGTCTCTGATCAAGATATTTTTCTGAATTCTTTACTTACTTACTTATTTTATTGAAATTCTTTATGATAAAAATTTTTCTTTCTTTTTTTTTTTTTTGAGATGGGATCTTGCTATCTTGCCCAGGCTGGCCTTGAACTTGTGGACTCAAGCAATCTTCCTGCCTTAGCCTCCTAAGTAGCTGAGACTAGAAATATCTCCATATTCTCCAGCTTAAAAATATCATTTTAAAGGCTATCCTATCTTGAGCTAGTAGCTCAGTGGTTATGGCGCCAGCCATATACACTGAGGCTGGCAAGTTTGAGCCTGGCCAGGGCCAGCTAAACAAAAATGACAACTGCAACAACAAAAAAAATAGCTGGGTGTTGTGGCAAGTGCCTGTAGTCCCAGCTACTTGAGAAGCTGAAGCAAGAGAATCACTTAAGCCCAAGAGTTTGAGGTTCCTGTGAGCTGTGATGCCACTGCACTTTACCAAGGTGACATAGTAACTCTTGTCTCACAAAAAAAAAAAAAAAAAAAAAAAAAGACTTGGCGCCTGTAGCACAGTGGTTACAGCACCAGCCACATACACTGAGGCTGGTGGATTGGAACCTGGCCCACACTCAGCTAAACAGCAATGACAACTGCTACAAAAAATAGCTGGACGTTGTGGCAGGCGCCTATAGTCCCAGCTGCTTGGGAGGCTGAGGCAAGAGAATCACTTAAGCCCAAGAGTTTGAGATTACTGTGAGCTGTGACGCTACAGCAGTCTACTGAGGGCAACATAGTGAGAGTCTTTGTCTCTAAAAAGGAAAAAAAAAGGCTATCCTAATCTTTAAGTCTTTCTGGTATTTATTATTATATATGTAAGATAAATTTCTTATTGGGAATAGAACAACATTGCCCTAGTGAAATACTATATTGCCAGTAGATTCATTGAGTATCCTCTACTTAGCCCTTTAGAAATTTCTTTCAGACCCCACGTGGTAAAATTAGTCATCTGTGTAGGTTTCAGTGTCTCTGTAACTAAATGGTTGTTAACATTTCTTTTTTTTTTTTTTTTTTTTGAGACGGAGCCTCAACCTATCCCCCTGGGTAGAGTGCCATGGCATCACACTCACAGCAACCTCCAACTCCTGGGCTCAAGCGAGTCTCCTGCCTCAGCCTCCCAAGTAGCTGGGACTACAGGTGCCCGCCACAACACCTGGCCATTTTTTGGTTGCAGCCATCATTGTTGTTTGGCGGGCCCAGGCTGGGGATACGAACCCGCCACCTTAGGTGTATGTGGCTGGCGCCTTAGCCACTTGAGCCACAGGCGCTGAGCTGGTTGTTAACATTTCTTATGGCTCCAAGGATTATTCATCTGTAGGGGGTTTTATAGCCACCTAGTACTAAAGATTTCTGTATTTCTTTTTCTGGAACTCTGAAGCAAATTGTTTTATTTGTTTTCCCTCAGCTTGGTGTTCTCAGGACTATTTCCTTTCCAAGGAAGAAGAGGATACAACCAGATCTCTTGTACGTTTTAAGCATTTATTTGTTTCCTGCATTATTTTTAAATGCAGTTACAGTGGGTTGCTATAACTTACCAGTAAGCTGGAAAAACTAAATCCATATCAAACAAAGTGAAGAAAAGTACAGATAGAAAATCAGAACCGGGGGAAATCTGGGATATGGCTATCCAAAAGAAGGTACATAAAGAATTACTAAATTTGAATCCAAGTTTGAATATGATCTGAAGAGTCAAAGCAAACGGGGACACAAAAATTTATTTCATAATTTATACTATTTATGAGGGAAAATGTAAAACTGTTTAAGGAAAGAGAAATTTTTCATTGGCACCTAGGTCAAAAAGAAATTCTGAAATACAGTCAGCCCTCCATCTTTATGAGTTCTGTATCCATATATTCAACCAACTGGGATCAAAAATATTTTTTTAAAATAGCTGGTTGCATTTATACTGAAAATAACAGACCATTTTTTATTGTCATTTTCCCATAAACAATATAGTATAACAACTATATAGCATTTACATTGTATTAGGTATTATAAGTAATCTAGAAATGACTTAAAGTATATGTATATGGTAGGATAGGCCTTTGTTATATGCAAATAGTACATCATTTTATACAAGGGACTTGAGTGTCTATGGATTTTGGTATCTATGTAGGGTCCTGGAATCAGTTCCCCCTGGGTACTAAAGGACAACAATAATTCTGTAATTCTTAGAATTTTAAGCCCAGTCAGTTAATAAATGGAACTCACATCTTTCAAATTATCTTATATACTCATGGTGCCAAAAAAAAGTACACACGTTTTTAGAAGGAAAATGTATTAAAATTATAATACTCAAGTCATGTTTGACTTATGCAATTATAAGAAATACAGGATCTTATATGTTAGATCTGTATATTTTATATTGTATTTGTTGTAATTGCAAGTCAAAAGACTCATCCAGTTATTTCTCCTATTGGTACTATGGTTCTCTAGCCCTGGACAGACTTGGGTTGGGATCTTGGCTCAGTGATTTATAAAGTGCATGACTACAGGCAAGTTCCTTAATCTCTTTATGTTTGGTATATCTTCTACAAATGGGGATAATAATGGTACTTATCCCATAGGAATGTTGGGAGGGTTAAATGTATATAGTAAGTGCTCCTTAAATGATAGTTACTGTTAATCATATTAGCTATATAATCTTTCCTACCTGAGACAGTTTTGGGCTGTGTTCACTGTATTCATTGGCCTCCTTTTTAGTTTAACATGTAGCTCATAGGATGAAAGAAAAGGCTCCCTGATTTGGGTTTATAAAATCGATTGTTTTCTTTAATAAACAACCACAAACACTGTATAACGACAAAGGTGAAATACAGCAAAAATAATGTGAATGATCCTTAAAAACCAGTAATTAAGAAAATAGAAAATCAAGTGAAGGACATGAACAAGCAATTGGAAGAAATGTAGGTGGACAAAAACTATTTTAAAATAATATCCCAAGGCCAGGCGCAGTATGGCTCATGCTTGTAATCCTAACACTCTGGGAGGCCAAGGCAGGTGAATTGCTTGAGCTTAAGAGTTGAAGAGCAGCCTGAGCAAGAGTGAGACCTCATCTCTACTAAAAAATAGAAAAAATTAACCAAATGTTGTGGTATGCACCTGCAGTCCTATCTAATGAAAAGGCTGAAGGAAGAGGATCTCTTAAGCCTAGGAGTATGAGGTTGCTGTGAGCTATGATGCCACAGCACTCTACCTAGAGCAACAGAGTGAGACTTTGTCACAAAAAATGAATAAATAAAGAAATAAAAATAATATCCTAAAGAAACTGATAATTCAGATTTGCAGACATTTTTGCAGAATTTGGGGGTAATGGCCATCTTTTATTGGAAAATTCCAAATTATTAGTCACACATGCATTTTTTTTTGTTTGTTTTTAGTTTTTTGCAGTTTTTGGCTGGGGCTGGGTTTGAACCCACCACCTCCAGCATATGGGACTGGCGCCCTACCCCTTTGAGCCACAGGTGCCGCCTGCATTTTTTTTTTTTTTTTGAGATGGAGTCTCACTATGTCACCCTGGGTAGAGTGCTATGACATCACAGCTCACAGCAACCTCAAACTCTTGGGCTTAAGCAATTCTCTTGCCTCAGCCTCCCAAGTAGCTGGGACTACAGGCGTCTGCCACAATGCCTGGCTATTTTTTATTGCAGTTGTCATTGTTGTTTAGCTGGCCTGGGCTTTTTTTCTATCTTTCATAATCAAAGATGTTTCCATTTAGGTGAACTATTAATATAATTCACTGTTTTCAAGAGGAAAACATAAGGGGGTCTTGAGTTGGCTTGGAGAATCCAGTTACCCGGTCCCTTGCCTCTTATTTGGTCCAGGCTGTGAACAACATATTAGGATCTCCTCTCCTCCTTTCATCTAAAAGGAGCAATCACTATTTTATCTTCTCCTCTAACTATGTCTGGGCTTTTTTTGGTTTGAGGTGAGGAAGTAGGAGAAGGAGGAGGAAGAAGGATGAGGTTGTCTGAACAAGTGAGTTCAGGTTTCAGAGGAGCAGAAAAAGAGAGAGTTCCTGGTGCCTTCCAGATTTCAGAAGTGGTTTTTGCTTGTTTCTTTAATCCCAAGACAGTCTCAGATTTTTTTTTAAATTAACTTCCTGGAAAGAGGCAAGTTTATCATTTGTCTTTTGGATGATTCCTGGTGCCCGCTCTAGGATTAACCATATATATATATGGGTAATATATATATTATTATATATATGTGTGTGTGTGTGTGTGTGTATATATATATATTTTTTTTTTTTTTTGAGACAGAGTCTCACTTTGTTGCCCCTGGTAGAGTGCCATGTCATCATAGCTCACAGCAACCTCATACTCCTAGGCTCAAGCAATTCTCTTGCCTTAGCCTCCTGAGTAGCTGGGACTATAGGTCCTGTCACAACGCTGGGCTATTTTTTTAGGGGGCTATTTTTGCTCTTGCTCAAGTTGGTCTCGTACTTGTGAACTCAGGTGATTTGCTCGCCTTGGCCTCCCGTAGTGCTAGAATTACAAGCGTGAGCCACCGTGCTCTGCCCCCTATTCTGTTCATATTTTTGATTTGGAGCCTTCTCTAATTAAGTATGCAAGAAAACCAATTTGAGAATATTGGAAGTCTCCCATTTTGGAAACCTTAGACCTTGGTCATCCTTAGTAAGATCTTTCCATTTACACAAATACTTGCAAGTAGAAGTACAGTAATTATCAAACATAATCAGCCTGAAGGGAGTGTTCCCTTGCCTTTCTTTCGTTGTTTTTTTTTTTTTTTTTCCCCACTCTGGCAATCTGACTAGAGTGCTGTGGCATTATAGCTTACAGCAACTTCAAGTTCTTGGGCTCAAGCAAACTTCTTGCCTCAGTTTTTCTATTTTCAGTAGAGATAGGGTCTCATTATTTCCCACACAGGTCTCGAATTCCTTTGCTCAAGTGATCCATTACCCAATCAACATCTAAAAATCAACCAAGACCATCAACCAAGAGTGGGAGGTTCAGGGCTCAGGAAGACTTAATCAGGTTCTACTCAAGGAGAAACTTGAATTTAGGGCAGATTTGGGTGGGAATCAATGGGCCTGTCCTGGTACCTTCACTCCAGTCAGGTGTCTCCTTCAGGGGATCTACATTGGGCACTCGGTATTGTTGACCAAGAAACCCAAACTCTGTGAGAGGTTTGTTTATTCTGAGTTGAATATGTATGACTGCAGCCCAGGGGACATGGTCTCAGGGGTCTTGAGAAAATATGCCTGGGGCAGTAGGGATACGGTTTGTTTTTCTATATTCATGGAAGTAAGAATTACAGTTAAAACCATAAATCAATAACATGAAAAGTATCCATTGGTTTAGCCTGAAAAGGCAAGATATCTTATTAAATGGGAGCTTACAAGTCATAGGTGAGTTGTAGGGATTCTTTAATTGGCAGTTGGTTATAAGAATTAAGCTTTGGCTAAAGACCTGGAGTCAGTAGGAAGAGATAATCAAGTTAAGATAAGGGGTCTGCTAGAATGCTTGAATTAAGATTGGGGAGTCCTCTGTCACGTGATGCTATACCTGAATGAGGTTGGAAAGTAAGCACATTATACTGGATTAATAAAAGCATACTTAAACAGATTTTTTTGTTTGTAGGCCTGACTCACCAGGCCCCTTAGGAAGGAGTTGAGGCCACAGAAACAAAAAGATCAGAGTTAAGGAAGGGAATGTAAATGTAAGGTATTCCATGTACCTGATCCCAGTAAAATAAGTGTAACTGCACAAAATATATACAACTTAATAAGTCTGCTAACGCCTGTAATCCTAGCACTCTGGGAGGCTGAGGCAGGTGGATAGCTTGAGTTCACGAGTTGGAGACTAGCCTGAGCAAAAAAGCAAGACCCCATCTCTACTAAAATAGGAAAACTGAGGCAAGAGGATCGCTTGAGCCCAAGACTTGGAAGTTGCTGTGAGCTATGACACCACAGCCCTCTACCCAGGGCAACAGCTTGAGACTCTGTCTCAAAAACAAAAACAAAAACTTAGTAAGTCTAATAAATTAGACAAGTACTGGTGAAAACATTTTTAGAAAATTAAAGTTTCTGGAAATTGTCCTAAAGGGCATAAAGCAAATAAAGAACCATTTACTATAATCAGAAAATCTAAAACTTGGTAAAAACTATGATAGTCTGTGGCATCTAAGCTACAATTTGGTAGATATGAATACCTGATAAACAGGATATTGGATATTGAATAGTTTTTTTTTTTTTTTTTTTTGAGACAGAGCC